AAATAGAATAGACTATTAGTTCTAACATACACTCAGCTTAAAATTACGTTTCTGCTTATGACAACAAATTATTATAATTTGATTTATTATATAAAAAGGAATAACACACTTAACTGAAGAGCCCAAAGAAATATCATTGAAAACAATATTAGGGGTGTTAAATTTTATCACAAAGTATAGTCAATCAGTAAATGAAACCGAATGAACAATTATTTCTGGCCATACATTTTTTAAAATTTTAAATTAAAAAACTGTTAAATGCTTGTGTGAGAAGAGCGATTCCAATTCAAAAAGTGGTAAGAGACTAAATCAAGTGTTTGGTGGACTATACAGTTCAGTGAAAAACATTCCAAAGACAGTGATTTGTGGAGTAAATCAGAATGTTCTTGCATCATGTCAGGTGTTTTCAGATGAAAAAGCCACTTAGTAGGTATGATCAGCTATAGGAATTAAGGAAACATATTGGAAAACTGTCAACATCTAATTATTAGTAGCCTTTGAAAATGCAGCTAAGAAAATTGAATTCTAGCCCAAATTGGGTTGACAAAGAGTTTGAGTAATGAATATTTCATTTTATTTCTCTAAAATTTATTGATGCACTACAAGAAGAAAGAAAGAAAATCCCAAATTTCTCACCATAATAAAATTCTCCTTGTTGATACATCATTGGAATTTGGACCTCACTTTCATCATCTTTAGTAAAGGAAAAAGTTCTAGTATTTTCAGGTCTAAACTGTGACTTCCAGTTGCCCTTGAAATACACAGCATTGATGAGGGCCAGATGAGTGACAGCATCAAAATCCCTTGGGGAAATCAAATCTTTCAGCAGATCTATTTAGGGAAAAATAAACAGATAGGAATTCATATTAAATTGAAAAATGAAGGGCAGGGAATGTTATCAAACCACTATGTGACACAGTATTTCATAAATATTGTATAATACATTTATAATAAAAATAAAAATATCTTACTTTCAAAGAAAAAAATTACACACATGCACCTACACACACACACACACACACACAATTATGTAATTAGCAACTAAGGACATTCAAAACAACAATACCACCTAAAGTATTATCAGTAGCATCCTGACATACAAACAACACAGCCACATGCAATAAAATCTTAGGCTTGCCACTTTGTAGTTGCAATGATGCATGTAAAATTCTTAACATTGACTGAGCACTCAAATGTTTCTAAGTTGATTCTTGAACAGATGTTCAAGATTAAATGTCACCCAATTCAAACTTTTCTCCATGAATATTTGACATCTTTCTACAAACATAACAATAGCTATTGACTAGGTGAAAACAGATGAGTGAAAGCCAATTTAAATCATGATGCCTTATTTTCTATCATTTGAAATGTTCCTTTTCAAACATATTTTGAGAGATACTTGGTCTTTGTTGTTTGTTGAAAGTGTCTAAGAGTTTGAAAACTAACTGTATGATAATTCAATATATTTCAGGTAGATTGTTATTCCTGATTTATTCTTTGAATGCTAAAAAAACCCTTCAAAATAAGTTTCTTTATCCTACAATTTAATCTTATAGTTGAAAAACATAGGACCAAAATATGCTCTTTAGTCTATTTTATTAATCATAGTACTTCTTTGGTCCCCGGTACCAAAAAAAAAAGATAGATGCCTCAGCATTTTATGAATTATAGGATGAAAGTTATCTGATTAGGGTTTTTTTTTGTCCTAACATAAAAAGATTGACATTTCTTTGGGACTTTTGACATTAAGAATTAATTTAATCTAGAGCTATAGTAATCTACCTTTAATTTATCTCATTTTTTAGATTCTGATTTCAATTATTCCTCAGATAAAATTGGAAAATAAAATGGTAAAATATGGAACATCTGAGCCAATCAATGGGATGGCATACACCTGTCATCCCAGAACACCGGGAGGCTGAGGCAGGAGAACTACCTCAAGTTTGAGGCCAGCCTGGGCTACACAGTAAGTTCAAGGCCAGCATGAACTACATAGTGAGACTATTTCACCCCCCCCAAAAAAGAATTAAAAACTTAAAACATAAAATGTAGAACTTCTGAAGATCTTAAATAAATTAAAAAACATGAATTAGAAGTAAAATTTAATATAAATGCTTTTTTGTGGGGATTGCAGTCAGGGGATTGAACCCTCAGGAATGGACCAAGGCCCCTTGCACTGAGCAACATCACAAGCTGTTTTTTTTGTTTTTCTTTTTCTTTTTGATATAGGGTCTTGCTAAATTGTTAAACTGCCTGAGCAAGGCTCAAAATTGTGATACTTCTGCTTCAGCTTCCCAGAGTACCAGGATTACCGACATGTAATGTGAGTACATGCCCACGTAATGCATCTTGTTCTAATTCCTTTCCATTTATTTGAGCTTAAAATGGACTGCTTTTTTAAAAATAAATCTTTCAATTTTTTTATTGCCAATCAAGTTTTGCTGTTCCAAAGCTAACAATATCTTTTAATTCTGATTTTTATCTCTCTAATTCTATCTTAACATTATTATTAAAAGAATCATCAAGTGTCATTCCATCTAGTAATAAATTTATTAGTCAGCTCAAGCAGAATTCCACGCAGTAGTCAACATTACTTTGCAGAGAAAATCTGTCAATTAACATAGAGTTCAGGTGATCAATGCCAAAATTCTATACGTGTTAAAAAAAATTAACTTCTTTCTCAAAAGTTCATAAATAAGCAATGTTTCAAAAATAGTCTGTAATCTATAGTAAATAATTATTAAGACACTCAACTCAATGCTGTCTAATATTCAAAATGTAAAAGACTGAGGGGACAAATACTTCCAAAAATAAAAGATGGTTAAGCTAAGCTATAAGAGAAAAAAATGAACATACTATTTGTGTTATTCTCCACCCATTTATTGATGTAGCTGGCCACAGCTACATTCTGACTGAAGTCCACATGATTTACTTCTGCATTAAAGTATTTTTTCATCATTTGCAAAAACTCATCATTGACATGAAATCCATTTTGTATAAAGAGGGAATTGGCAATTTTCATCACATATTGTCTCTCTTCAGCAGTTACCATACTAGAAAAATCCTTCAAGAAAGAAAATTCTTCACCTGCAAGATGACAAAGAACAAGTTTATTAGCAGAACAACCATGGTAAAATATTAGGAAGAGTAGATGAGCACTAAATCTCAGTAAGGGACATTAGGAGAACATGGCCCCAAGTAAAACGAGCAGGCTTATTCCCCACTTTGGGATGGTAAAAAGGTTCCTGTGGTTGTATTGTTTCTAGATGTTTAAATAAACCTGTGTAGCTTAGTATTTTCAACTGATACTATTTTTCATTTCATTATTACTTTGCTAGAATCTTCAAAGCAGAAATTTTGTCAGTGGTTTTCTTTCAAGGCACTTGGGTTACTTTCTTTAAATTAGTCTTATTTTATAGTTATCAGGGAAAATTCCATTTAATTATCCACATAAAGTTCAAGTCAGCTAGGCATGGTGGCACATGCCTATAATCCCAGCACTTTGAAAGCTGAGGCAGGAGAATCATAGTGAGTTCAAGGCTGGCCTGAACTTGATTCAAAATAAAAGAAAATGAAAAGAAAAGAAAAGAAGGGCCGGGGATTTAGCTCAGTGTGTTCCGCCACCTGCCTCGCAAGCGCAAGGTCCTGAGTTCAATTCCCGGTATTGCAAAAAAAAAAAGAAAAGAAAAGAAAAGAAATTCAAGATATTTCTTTAGATTTTACTATTGTTAGACTTTCATAATATTATAACTAGAAAATCCATTATAAGTTGTAGTTCTTAATTCTCTAATGACTTAATTTATATGCACATTAGAAGCATTAAAATAGAAATCATACATGATATTAAAATGATTATAAAATACCTTTTGGCTGGAAATCTTCCCTGATACATATAATTTTTAAAATAATATAACATTTCAAAAAATGCTTGTATGCTATTTAAAAAATGGAAATACAGTTGATTTTAAGTAAAAAATATCTTATAGTCTTAGAGAACCATGTTCCTTTTTTTACACAAATCATCATAATTGTAATTTTTCATGTATTTGTATTATAATTGAATAATACAAGCTTTTCCCTATAGATTGGGCACTTCTGAATCATTTATTTTTATCACAGTGGAATTTATTTAAGTAATAAGATTTTGAAATGCAATTTTTTACACTCAGCTATGGCATGGATGGAAGCAGGAATTAACATCTTTCTTATTTTTTATTTAATTATTTTTTTCCAGTACTGGGGATTGAACTCAGAACCTTGCACTTGCAAGGCAGGCGTGGCACCACTGAGCTACATCCCTGGCCCTTCATTCTTATTTTCTAATTGTTCCAGCCATAACATCTCAATATCATAATTTCTTACCTTGTGTAAATATTGCTGCCTTCAACATATGACAAATGACTGTGTTCAAGTTTAAAGTCAAACCACCTCGAGAAATCAAAGTGAAGCACACTTACCATTTTTTAAGTTGTCATATCCCATTGAATGGCGGATTTCTTTCAGAGTAGACCCTTGAGCCCCAAGTTCCATTATTCCCATTGCGAGGGCAATGCTCAATGGAGAGAAGAGAATATTTTCATCTTCCGCAGTGGCTCGAAGATGGTTGTACATATTCACAGACACTTCAGCAATGGTTTCATCAGGGAAAGTGGCCCCTAACACCAGACTTTGCAGAATCAGGAAAGAGAATAGTCCAAGCAAAGCCATACTGGAATGGTTTCAAGCTTAAAAAACAATGATTTACATATTAATGATTCATTTTCCCAGAGAAATAACAGAGAAAAAAGAAAATATAAGGTATTATTTCTTGATAAAGTGAATTAGGCCTTTTAAAACACACACAATATTAATATCTTTGTAACAAAATCCCCATTAGAGTATACATTGGAAAGCCCTCATGCGTGAGTGTGTGTGTGTGTGTGTGTGTGTGTATGTGTGTGTGCGCTAAGAACTGAACCCAGGGCCTTACACATGCTGAGCATGTGCACTTCCTCTGAGCTAAATCCCTAACCCTGAAAGTCCTACTTTTAGAAGTCAAACAAATAATACTGCCTACTTTCTGAAGCTTGTCCCAGGAATAAAATAGTTATGATTATAACCGTCATGAAGTTAAGAGGATGTATAGATACATATAAGGTAACTGTTATATTTAATTCTTTTTCACAGTCTCATCCTATATATTTTGATCATGATTTTGAACCACCTTACCCTGCTTCCACTAAATTACATAGGTCTAGAACAACTATAAAGAAAACCAGAGGGTGTTTCCAGCACTTGCGATGAGTTATTGAAATACCACTTTACCCATTTACTACATTTCACAAAATTAATACACTTTGTAGCTTGGTTACCAATTGGTGGGCCAAGATCAGACACACACTTGCCCCAAGTCCCAGTTTATTCAGCCTTGGCTGCGGAGCTTACAGGAAGTGGTAACCCAGCGGAGGAGCAGAGACAGCCCATCATTGGAGTCTATTCCTCATATGGTGCTTCCCCATGAGGGTACTGTTCACAATGACCGTTTTCAGCAGGGAGAACATCCTGCCAATGTTGAGAATGAAGCTGAATTCTTGATACAACTTTGTTCTTTTATACTTTATGTTACCATTTCAGTTTATGCCAACAAATTGCTGATTCCATTTAATATGTTTAGCTAACAGGTTTATCTGGCTCTACAAGCACATTGAGGCCACGTTTGTTTTGGTAAAAGAAAGCAGTGATAGTGTCCAGATATCTTTGACTAGCATTTATGTTTCCAGCCATCCCAGTATTCCAGAAGCTCTTGTCTCCTCACAAACAGCCTGACTTATACACACTGAGACAGTATTTCCTCTTTTCTTTGTATTCTCTCACTTTGTCAGTGCAGACATCTAGAAAGCTATACCATATATGCAAATAATTGAGTGACTTATTTATTCTTGATCACACTTAAATTCATCGTAAAAATAATACATAAAGTAGCATTGAGCAAACACATTTTAAAAATTGTATTTAATTAAGCTTGAGCATTAATGATCTCCATTAATCAAATAATGGTGAATATACATGTAACTGAAGAGGAGTGTATATCCAATAGTCTTTGAGCCAGAGGTTCCAAATCAGCCCTGTGATTTCTAATTTAATGAAAAATAAGAATAGGACCAGAGGGTCAGAAGATTAAGAAAGAAATATTTCCCTACATCTATTGAGCAGTCTGATCTAGGGTATAGTTAGGGTACACTACATGATACAGTTTAATGTACCATTATAACTCTACCCTGTAAAGGCACAAACTGGGCCTCATTATTCTTGTTTGGTGCTATCTAGTATAAAACTAGAATTCCTGATCACTTTGTAAGTCCTTCACATTGAGAATTAAAAGCATTGAATTTTTTTCTTTTTGTCATAAAAGTCCTAGGGTCTTCATAGCCAACCTTCCACCTCACTGCTTTGGTATTTAAAATCATATACTATTACTTATACTATTATAAATTATAAGTAATTATTTAATAGTATTTAAATAATCTGGCTCATGTAGGAGGGGATATCAATGTGGACTCTCAAAACCTGTCCTGCTAAGGAGATGACTGCTACCTAGGAGATGAAGTGGCATGCTGCAAGGCAGGCTCTGTACCTCACCCAGCACTGATAGAAGCTGGGAGCCAAGAACCTGCCACCTCTGGAAGACTGCAGCTGCTGTGCCACCCATGCCTCCTCTGTACTCCAGAGAACCCCAGGACCAGGACCAGGTGGGAATAGAACAGATAGAACTTTCTCTAAGATGAAAATTTAGTATGCACTCCTCTAATTTAAAAAGTAATTTATGATATATCTGGCATTTAGTACATAAAATATAATACTGTTTAGTGGAACTAAAATATGTTAGATTCAAAAGCCCATTGTCAGGCCGGGGATTTAGCTCAGTGGTTCTGCCACCTGCCTCGCAAGCATAAGGACCTGAGTTCAATGCCTGGTACAGAAAAAAAAAAATTAAAAAAAAACAAAAAAAACCATGAGTTCAAAAGCCCATTGTCTTACTCACTACAGTATCATACAGTTTAATACATCACCTGTAAAGTTCCAAACTGGGCCTCATTACTATTGTCTGATGTAATCTAGTATAAAACTAAGAAATTAAATTCACTATACAATAGTTATATATCTGTCAGTCACTAATAAAGTTACTCTGGAACCAGTGCATTTAACACGAGCATCAGATTTCAGGCTAATAAAAGTATCTTATTCATGGAAAAAAAATAATCTACTGCCAATCAATACATTCCAGAAAATAAGGGTAAATCTATTATACACTCATAGGGATTTTCATTTACAAATGAATGTTTCATGAGCTAATAATAGCTAACATTTTTGAGTACTTATAAAGGTTATCTTATGAAACTTTTTAACCACATTATAGGTACGAATGCTATTATCCCCATTTCATAAGTGGAAATACAGTCTTAGGTTTTTGCACAGTGTCATTTAGGAAGTGCTAGAGCAGGATTGGAGCTCAAGTCATCCTTAGGAGACTTTAATCAGTAAACTGCTTCTCTAGTCTTTGGACAAGTAGGTTAGAAGATTTGAAGAATCTGATATCATGGTATATCACCTTCAACAAGTCACATACCTTCTCTCAAGTTTAACTTTCTCATTTGTGAAATGAATATACTGTATTAATCCTTGCTCAATGAAACTATTAAAGAAATACTGTAGAGAATTATGTGTGAACTACTTATTATAACCTGTATGTTTCTCTAATAGTGGGCAGTATTATGAAGTAAAAAAGGTTCCTAATTATGTATATTTGCCAACCTAAACAAAAAGTTATAAACCCAATGTAAATGTTTTTATCATTCCTGTTGATCACCTGTTGTAACACCATTATCCATAGTAGTGGATTAACTCATGGTCAATTTGTAATGCCCAGCTGAACTGAGTCATTGTGGTCTGGGCATGGAGGAACCACCTGAGGACTGTTATCAATAGCCATAAAAAGACAACTGGAGGGGAAGATCTTGGACTTTTTCTTTTCTTGCTGCAGTTTTTCTGATGCAAAAACTAGGCTGTTCTCATCATGAGGAGGAACTCAGGGCCTCACTGTCGCTGGGAATGGCTGCTGTTTTCATCAGGGGAGCTCTGATCTTCACCATGAGCATCACTTCCTGGCTCCAATGTGGATCCCTCAGCTTGGTGGCACAAATCCTTCATCTTACCAGCATAGGTTTTCTGGTTTCCACCATTGGCCTTTGGGTCTGCCAGGTGCAGATCCTCAATATGGACAATTATGAGACATTGCTGTGGGCTCTAGGCCAGTGGCTGGACTTGTGGAGGACATTGCCTTGAATTCTAAGCCTTTAGCTGGACTTCTGTGGGAAATTTCTGGAATCCAGGCCTTCAACTGGATTCTTTGGGCCCCTAGTGTGTGGTTAATCTCTTGCACTCCTTTGCCTTTGACCTTTTGGGTAATTGTCATAAAATAATCCTATAAACTGTGTCCTGTATTTAACGTATTCCCTTGCCAAAACCTTGACTACAACAAAATTGGTACTGAGAGTGGGGTCATTGCTGTGATATTACCTGGTCATGTGGCTCAAAAGCCTTTGGAACTGGCCTGTGGGAAGGAGAAGAGTTAGGAAATATCCAGAGGCACTGGCTACAGAAGCAGCTCTGGAATGCCTTAGGCTGTTTTATATGGGAGATTCTGGTCAGAGCTCAGAAGACCAGAAAGGCAGTAGAGACCAGGCTCAAGGAGGTTTCTGCTGAGAAGGACTGTACTGGCTGCTGTTCTCCAGAAGATATGTGTTATGGCTTAACAGAAAGTTTGTCTTAATTTTGCTCAAGACTTTGCTGGAAGACTTGGAGCTACCAGCTGAAGAAGGAGAGCTGCAACACCTTAGGCTGTTCTGTATGGTAGATTCTGGTCAGAGCTCAGATGACCAGAACGCTTGTAAAGACCATGCTAGGGAGGTTTCTGCTAGGAAGAAGGACTGGATTGGCTGCTGGGCTCCAGGTGATGTGTGTTATGGCTTGGCAGAAAGTTTGTCTGCATTTTGTTCAGATCCAGAGACTCTGCCTAAGACTGAGATTCGGGGTGGTAGACTGATTAGTCTTGCAGAAGAAATTTTAAGGCAGTTGAATATTGAGGCAGTGGTATGGCTACTGTTGAGGGCTTTTAGCCAGATCTATGTTGAGAATCAAGAGCAAAAATCCCAGCAGAATAATTTAAACATTTTGAGTTTGGCCAGAGAGGAAGCTCCAGTAAAGCTGTGGACTGCAAAGATAGAGCAGAGGAGATCTTGATTGCTGAGAAGGAACAGGAAAATAGAAAAGATGGCCTGAGGGCATTACAGGAAGCAACAGGACTCTATCCCTTGCAGTCTCAGAATTGTAAAGGTGAAAGATTTTGCTTTGAGAAGAAAGCCCCAGAGCACCATGTTTCAGAATAGAGTCAGCCACACCACGTTCCAGAATGGCGACAACCTAGGGAAGTTGTTCCAAAATGGCAGCCTAAGGAAATTGTTCCAAAATGGCAGCTTAGGAAATTTGTTCCCCAGGATTGGCTTCAGAGTGCTCAGTGATCCAGGCACTCAACCTCTACAGCCAAGAGAGAAGGAAGCCTGGCTACTGCTCCAGCTGGCAGCAGACCTTGTTATCATCCACATGGCACTAGTTTTAGGTCCATGCAGAATGGAAGAGTTGTGGGGTCAGGGAAGCTTCCACCCAGATTTCAGAAGAAGGCCCAGGA